CGGGTATCCCGGTGCCTACCTGTAATCATAACACTCAAGAGGCTGAGCCTCAAGTTCCAAACTTGGCCACATAGACATAGAAGGACCTTTTCTCAAAATAAATAAAATTAAAGAAATTTTTTTGTGTCAATTAATACTTTTTGAGGTATATAAACAACTATGATGACAATATGTGGTTTAGCTTTTTCTAATGTAATAATGTATTTTTCCAGATTGCCATTCTTAGACTGATTTTAAAATACTCCTTAATAACAAATAGCTATATCTTTTCTACCATTTCTATTTTCAGTACTATTCTCTTAAAAATTCCACCTCCCCTTTATTTCCAGTTTTTGAAAGCCATGCACTAGAGGAAAGAATAATATGCTCCCAGTGACAGACTCATAGTTGCCAAGATTAGTTTCATATGATTGTGAGGAAAACTTTGGGTGAAGTGGGAAATTACTGTCAAAGCTTTCACAGAAGGAGCCACATCTTAATAGGATTATATATAACAACTAAGCTACTCTTTTCTCCTTCTCAATTTACATATAGCAGTTGCCCTCTAGTGGTCCAAATAAAATATTCTAGGATGTTCTGTGTTGTACCCTCCCCCCCATAGTTCATATAAATAAAAACCATTGTTGCTTTAAGCTTGTTGATAAGAAACCTTGGTTTTTAAAAAATATTTTTTGTTATTTTTATTTTATGTATATGAGTGTTTTGCCTGTGTGTATGTAAGTGCACCCATGTCATGCAGTGCCTTTAGAGGTCAGAAGAGGGTGTCGAACACCCTGAAGCTGGAGTTATAGACAGTTGTCAGCTGCCATGTGGGTACTGGGAATCGAACCCAGGTCCTCTGCAAAAGCAATCAGTGCTCTTAACTGCTGAGCCATCTCTCCAGCGTGCTAAAACCTTGCTTTTTTTTTTTAACAACTTGAATATTTTAGCAGTGTGATTTATATTGATGGTAGACAAAATATTATTAGCTTAATTTTCAATATACAAAAATTATATAATCTCACTGCCAATTGCTTTAGTTCACAAGTTTGTTCCCTGTTTTTGAAGGAATTTGCCTTTGAAATTAATGCTTCTGATAGTATTTGGATTAGTTATGAAAAGGGATATTGTTATTTTGGTAAATTAAACTTTAAAATCTCTGACATATTTGTAATTTGGGGTTTTTTTAGGTTATTTGCTGTCAAAGCGTGAAGGCCAAGCAGGGTCTCCTGAGAAACCATTATCAGATCTAGGTCGTCTCTCCTACATGGCTTATTGGAAAAGTGTAATATTGGAGTGCCTTTATCACCAAAATGACAAACAAATTAGCATTAAGAAGTTAAGTAAGTTGACTGGAATCTGCCCTCAAGACATTACTTCCACACTCCACCACCTGCGAATGCTGGACTTTCGCAGTGACCAGTGAGTATCACACCCCAGTGTATACCTTTGAAAGGTGTTAGATATAACTCTCTTAAGTGATGTATTTGGTAGTGAATCATGATTGTTATTTCTGTGGTGTTTCAATTTAATGATTGCATACATAAACTTTTCTAGTCTGGTCTGTAATTTGGACCTAAGCCACTGAATTGCTTATCTTCTCATATTGGGAGCTTTTCCCACCCGCAATATGAAATAACAGTTCTAAAAACAATGTCATTAAGTAAAACTCATTTGTCTTATTTCACTAACTTCATATAAATGGTACTAAGTGAAATACATATTAAAAGGAAAGACGGTTTACTTTAAATTGTTTGGTTAGGAAATGGTCATGAAGGAAAAAGCATTTGAGCTAAATAAATGGAGAATAGGAAAGGGAGTTCAGGCAAGTAGGAGAAATTGCATGTTAGGAAAGTGTGAGTCAGTGAGAGAGCAACTTGTCCCTTGTTATAGCGAATATAGACCACTTAAATTTTTCAACTATCTCACATGGTCGCATACTTCGTATTTCATCACTAAGAAGGCTAGTTTTAAAGTATTCGTCATTATCATCTCCAGGTTTTTCTTAGGTTACATCTCCATGTTTTTGTGTGTCTTATACACTGTTGATTGCTATAAACTTTTCTCTGGTTGTAGATTTGTGATTATCCGCCGGGAAAAACTTATCCAGGATCACATGGCAAAACTTCAGCTGAATCTGCGACCTGTAGATGTAGATCCAGAATGTTTGCGCTGGACTCCAGTCATAGTCTCCAACTCTGTTGTCTCAGAGGAGGAAGAAGAGGAGGCTGATGAAGGAGAAAAAGAAGAGCCACAGTGCCAGGAAAGAGAATTAGACACCACTGTAAGGGTACGACGAATCTGTTTTTTTGATAACAGAAGTTTTTTGTTGTTGTTTTTAATGAGTATTTATAGTTTTTATGATTATGTATAGTATATAGTGTGCCCTACCAAAAGAAAAGCCTCACTAGAGGGGTGGGGAGATGGCGCAATGGATAAAGTGCTTGCAGAGGACCTGGTTTATACTAGTACTTGCACTGCTGGGGAGGAGGAAACAAGAGAACCCCTGGGGCTCACTGGTCAGCCAGCCTAGCCCACTTGGTGAGCCTTGGGTTAGAGAGAAACCCTGTGGCATTCCTGGGAAATGATACCCAAAGTTGTTCTTTGGCTCTCACACGCACACCGACAACCATGTACACACAAATATTCATACTAGAATTTCAGAATGTTTTTTATTGATTCTTTGAGAATTTTCATTCAGTGAATTTTGATCTTATTCAGGACTTCCTTCCCCATCTCTATCCTACCCTACTATCCTCTGTCACCCAAGATTTCATGTCTTCTATTATATTATCTTTTCTTTCCCTCCCCTCCCCTCCTCTTTTCTTCTTTTTTAAAGGCCTATGGAGTCTTATTTGTGTTACCCAAATGCTCTTGGGTGTGAATCCATCCCTTCGAGTCTGGTCAACCTACCAAACATCACACCTTTAAAGAAATCTGATTCTGTGTTTTCCAACAACTATCAGTTGTTTGGCCTGGGGTTTCTTGTGTATCTCTCTCATCCATGTGAGGGTTTTTTCTGGCTTGGGCTTGCACAAGTCTTGGCATGTTGTAACAAGTGCTATGGGTTTGTATGTGCAACTGTGCTGTTGTGTTGAGGCATGGTTCCCTTGTATTCATCCACTACCTCTGGCTCTTACAGTCTTTCTGCCCCTCTTCTGAAATGATTCATGAGCCTTGGGAGGATAGGGTGTGATATAGGTGTCCCACTTAGGGCAAAACACTGCATAGTCTCTCATTCTCTGCACATTGACCAGTTTAGGGTCTCTGAATTAATGCTACCACTGTCAGAAACTTCTCTGATGAGTGTTGAGATGCACTAATCTATGGGTATAACAATAAGTCATGGGGAGTAGTTTAATACTATATCTGTTTAGGGGAATAAAAGTAGTAGGTTCTTCCCTACAGCCAGGACCTGTCTAGCCACATGTTCTTGGCCCTGATAACAGTACCATGCATGGACTCCATCTTGTGAAGTGAGCCTTAAATCTAATCAGAAGGTGGTCACTTATTCCCATATCAGTGGGCTTATCGTACCAAGCCAGTCATTATTATAGCATGCAGAGTTCATAACTGGGCAAGATTAATGATTACTCTTCTCTTCTGGTAGCATACATTGCACTTTTCTAGTATTATGAAAGCTAGCCAGTAGAGATGAAGCTTCAAGGTCAATACCAGCTTGATGTCTCTGTTCTACAGCTCACATATGTAATGTCTCCAGCAATAAGGTCTTACTATCAAGTTCTGGAGGGTAACCAAGAGCAGTGACAGTAGCCAGTATTGTTTGAGGGTCTTTGGGAGCCCCCCCCCCCAACTCCCCGGTCAATAGCTCCCAAAAAAAGGAGTTCATTCCTGTCATTGGGCTTTGTGTTTGATAGTCTGTGGTGTCTGATAGGTCCATTGAACCCCCCATTATAACATAACTCTTGTAAAAAAAGATTTTTTTAATGTATTTTTATTTATTTGTGTGTTTTGCCTGCGTATATGTAAGTGTACCATGTGCATACTATGCCCACAGAAGCTAGAAGAGGGTATCAGATCCTCTGGAACTGGAGTTACAGATGGCTGTTAGCTGCCATATGGGTGTTGGAAACCAAACCCAGTTCCTCTGTAAGAGCAGCCTGTGTTCTTAACGGCTGAACTGTTTCTTCAGCCCCCATTTAAACTTTTTAAATATGTGTATGTATGTATTTTAAGAAGCTTCTACAACAGTAGGTTTCCATTTGACTTTTCCAAAGGGCCTTTAGTGGTTAGTTATCCCTCCCCACACTCCATCCTCTGTCCAGCCCTCCCATTTTCCTTCTCTTGTTCCATTATCCCTCTCTCCCCCTTTATAACACTGCATTCTCTCTTCCATCCTGTGAACACCTCCCCTCTCATGGCCTAACCTCTGTGGATTTTCCCATTGAAACACACCTATCTAATGATTCAGAGTTAGCATCTACTTAATGAAACAGCATATGACATTTTTTCTTTGTGGGTCTCCAGATGATAGTTTCTAGTTCCATCATCCATTTATCTGTGAATTTCATAATTTCATTTTTCTTAATAGCTAAATTAAATTCCATTGTATAAATGTACCATACTTTCATTATCCATTCCTTAGTTGATGGACCATCTAGATTGTTTTCATTTCTGGCTATTGTGAATAGAGCAGCAATGAACATGAGTGAGCAGGTATCTCTGTAGTATAGTAGGATAAAGTCATGCCCAAGAGTGGTATGACTGGATCATGTGGTAGATCTATTTCTAGCTTTTTCAGGAGTCTCCGCACTGATTTCCATAGTGGCTGCAGCAGTTTGCAGTCCAACCAGCAGTGAATAAGTGGCTCCCTTTCCCCACATCCTAGCCAGCATTTGTCATTGTTTTTTGAATCTTAGCCTTTCTGACCAGGGTGAGATAGTGTTAATTTGTATATCCCTGATGATTAAAGATGTTGCACATTTTCAAGTATTTCTCAGTGATTTGTGTTTCATCTTTTGAGACTGCCCCAGTTTTTAATTGGGTTGCTTTTTTCTTTGATGTTTAGGTTTTTTTAGTTCTTTGTGTATTCTAGATATTAGCCCTCTGTTAGATGTATGACCAGTAAAGGCTTTTTTTTCCTATTCTATAGGTTGCCTCTTCACTCGAATGATGGTGTCCTTTGCTTTTTAGTTTCATGAGGTCCCATTTGTCAATTGTTGGTCTTAATGCCTGTGGTTTTATGATCCTGTTCAGAAAGTCTTTTCCTGTACCTGTAAGTTCCAGTGTATTTTCTACTTTCTCCTCTATTAGACACTGGCTATCAGCTCTCATGTCAAGGTCCTTGATGCAATTGGAGTTGAGGGTTTTGCAATGTGAGAGATGGGGATCTAGTTTCATTCTACCTGTAAGCTGTCCAGTTTGACTAGGACCATTTGTTGATGATGATGTCTTTTCTCCAGTGTGTGCTTTTGGCCTCGTTGTCAAAAATCAGATGGGTGTGTGTGAACTTAAATCTGGGTCTTACATTCTGTTCCATTGTGTCTGTTTTTATGCCAGTACCATGATGTTTTTATTACTATAATATAGTATCATTTGAAATCAGGGTGGTGCTGCCTCCATCTCTCACATATTTGATGATTGTTTTGGCTATCCTGGGTTTTTTGTTTCTGTATGAATTTTGATGGAGATTGTATAGAATCTGTAGATTGTTTGCAGGATGCCCATTTTCACAGTATTAATCTTGCCAATCTATGAGCAAAGGAGGTCTTTCCATCTACTTGTGTCTTCTTCCGTTTCTGTCTTCAGTGTTTTAAAGTTTTGTTTATACACTCTTTCACTTTTCTAGTTAGATTTATTCTGAGGTATTTTATTCTTTTTAAGGCTATTGTGAATGGGATCTCATTTTCCTGATTTCTCTCAGTATGTTTATTCTTGGTATAAAGGCTACTGATCTTTGTGTATTGGTTTTATATTCTGTGACTTTGTTGAATGTTTCTCTCAGCTCTAGGAATTTTCTGGTGGAGTCTTTTATGTATAGAATCATATCGTCTGCAAATAAGGATAGTCTGACTTCTTCCTTTCCAATTTTGTATCCACTTTATCTACTTCACTTGTCTAATTGCTGTAGCTGAGACCTCAAGCAGTTCATTGAACAGGAAAGGAGAGTAGACATCTTTTCTCATTCCTGATTTTGGTGGAAATGCTTTGAACTTTTCTCCACTTAGCATGATATTAGCTGTCAGCTTGTTGTATATTTCCTTTATTATATTCATATATATTTTCTGTATCTCTAGTTTCTCCATGACTTTAATAAGAAGGGTTATTTTACTTTGTCAAAGGCCTTTTCTGCATCTAATGAAATCCATGTGACTTCTGCCCTCGAGCTTTGGAAAAACAATAACAAACACCACCCCAAAAGAGTAGATGGAAAGAGATGAAAATCAGGGCTAAAGGCCGGTTGTGGTGGTCCAGGCCTTTATACCCAGCACTTGGGAGGCAGAGACAAACATATTTCTTTAAGATAGAGGCCAGCCTGGTACATAATGAGCTCCAGGCAGGCTAGGGCTTTAGGAAAACCTTGTCTCTAAAAGATCAAAACCAAACAAACGAAAAATCAGGACCGAAATTAATGAAATAGAAATGGGAGTTGGGGGGGGGCTACAAGAATCAATGAAACGAAGAGTTTGTTCTTTGAAAAAATTAACAAGATTGACAAACCTTTAGCCAGACTGAAAGAAAGAGGACTCAGGGAACTGGAGAGATGGCTCAGCAGTTAAGAGCACTGGTTGTTCTTGCAGAAGACCTGGGTTCGAATTCCAGCACCCACATGGCAGCTAACAACTGTCTGCAACTCCAGTTCCAGAGGATCCAACACCCTCTTCTGTCCTCCACAGGCACTGCATGACACAGGTGCACTTACACATACACAAGCATAGCACTCATATACATAAAACAAAAATAAATAAATTTTAAAAAAATAAGAAAAGAGGACTCAGGTTAATGAAATGAAGAGGCGAAAAGGGAGACATTACAGTGAATACTGAGGGAATTCAGAGTTCACAGAATTCTACCAAACCACCAAGGAGCCACTAATAGATACCAGCACTCCTCAAATTACTCCATAAAGAGAAAAGGAACACTTCCAAGTTCTTTTTATGAAGCCATTAGTACCCTAATCACAAAAGATGCAACCGAAAAATAAAATTTTAAGCCATTCTCTCTGATGAACAGAGATATAAAAACTCTCAATAAAATAATGGTAAAGTGAGGCTGGAGAGATGACTCAGCAGTTAAGAGCACTGACTGCTCTTGCAGAGGACCTAGATTCAGTTTTAGCACCCACATGGTGGCTAACAGCCATCTATAACTCTAGTTCCAGGGCATGCAATGCCCTCTTTTGACTTTCAAGGGCATTGCACAGTATGGGTGCACTTAAATACATGCAAGCAGTGCACTCATACACATAAAGTAATAAAAAGTAATACATTAAAAAATTTTAAACGCAATGCAAGAGCACATCAAAAAGATTATCAACCAGTTGTGGTGGTACATGCCTTTAATCCCAGCACTCAGGAGGCAGAGGCAGGAGGATCTCAGTAACTGCAAGGCCACCCTGGGGCTACAGGGAGACATTCAGCATCAAGTCACCTTCATCCTAGAAATGCAGGAATGGTTTAATGCACATAAATTCAGTTTTATTTTAATGATAGAAATTTTAGGACAATTCGCTGTTACTTAACTTTCCCGTGTGTTTTTTAAGCTCTGGACCATTAGGAAACCATCAGATTTCTGACAATGTGTTAATTATGACTAAATATTTACTGGAATATCTAAATTTTAAGCTGAGTGACTATACTACATTGTGTAGTTTTCAACATTTCTCTTCGTGTGATGCAAGCCTTTCTTTGACATTCTTTCTTTACAGCAGTGTTCTCATCCCTTATGTCCTCCTTTGATAAATGTAAAAAAAAAAAAAAAATCTTATGCCACTTCCATGTATTTTAATTAAATACTCAGGAACAAAGTTAAAATAATTTCAGAACTTGTCTTTTCTATTTCTCAAATGTCCTGTTTCTTTCCCATCCCCCCTCAGGCTATTCTTCCTTGTTTTAACAATTTTTATTTCTAGAAATTTTGATAATCTGAATTAGCACCAATTCTGTCTTTCCTGTCAGAGGTGGCATTCATAGTGGTCTTGAGCACAGGAATCAGAGTCAGAGAATCTGATCCATGCCCCAACCTCTTCTCTAACCCTGAACTGGCCTAGTTTGTAAAGATCCTGTTGTGCTTCAGTTACCTCATTTACAAGATGAGCTTATAATACTTAATTGTATTATTGAAAGAATTTAAATAATACATTAAGGTGTTAAAGACGGTACCTACTAAGAAAGAATTATTCATGGTAACTATTAAATAGTTAATGTTTTCTTTCTAAAATTCTTTTTCTTCTTATTTCAATATTTAAAATTTCAGAATAAGTAAAAACAACTAGACTGAAAAATTAACCAGCATTGTTTTGTTTTAAATTAGGTGGGAAAATCTGTGTCTCGGGAGAATAAAGAAGATTCTTATTCTTTGGTAGAGAGTGAAAAGAAACCAGAAGTTAAGGCTCCAGCAAGTTCTACACGTTTAAACAAACAGGCCCTTCCCCGGGATAGTCTTCCTGCAAATAGCCTGCCACCACGGAGGGGCCGTTGTGGGAGAAAGAACAGAAAAACCCAAGAACGTTTTGGTGATAAAGATTCCAAACTGTTCTTGGATGAGACATCATCAACTCCTCAGGAACAATATGGAGAATGTGAGGAAAAATCAGAAACCTCCCAAGAACAATACACTGAAAACGAAGAACAGTTGACAGCTTCTCAGGTGCAGCCAAGCCTGGATGGGAAGCCAGACATTCCCAAAAGGAGACTAAGTGAGAGTGTGGAACTGTGGCGAGGACAGCTCAAGAAAAGCCCTGAGGCCCTGAAGTGCAGATTGCCAGAAGGAAACGATCGACTGTCTCATTGCTATAGCGATGATGATCGGGCTGGCGTTAGGGGCTTCAGTGAGAGTAGTGAGGAAGAGGAAGAGCCAGAAAGTCCTCGGTCAAACTCGCCACCAATTCTTACAAAGCCCACATTAAAGAGAAAGGTAATGGGTCTCTTTGTGTCTTTTCTTTCAGTTGCAACTTACTATATATGTGTTCTAGTCTATAGTTCTGCATAGTCAAGATAGAGTCCTAGTGTGTTCTTTTCTAAACGTTACACTTAAGATTCTTATTGGCAGTAACTGAAACCATGGACAGTGAAACTACTGGTAAGAGGGCACTGACTCTGCCAGAAATATCCAAGGCTGTAGCATGCACCTTCACATTACCATAGGCCAACCAGATTGCAGGCTGCCAGCTTTCTAGATGAGCCCCCTCTGTAGCAGTGAGTGACAGCTTTCATCTAAAGTGATGAAATCGTTTCTTTCTGTAGTAGGGCCTTAGGAAAATATGGAACTATTTGAAGACAAGCCATCCTTCAGAACATCTTTTAGATTGATAAAATTATTGTGAATAAGGTCCACAGGGTTCCCATGTGCCCCACACCTAGTTTCCCTATTACATACATTTGTCACAGTTAGTGATCCATTACGAACACATTAGTCAGTACAGTCCAAACTCTGTTCAGGTTTCTGCGGTTTTTTCCAAATGACCTTTCTCTGGTTAGATCCTATTCAGCATTCCACATCATGGTTAGTGGTGTCTTTAGGCTCTTCTTAGTTATGTGTTTCTCAGCCTTCAAGACTGTGAGGTCAGATATTTTGTGTGCTATCCCTTATGATATTAGAATGGTGTGATTTGCTTGAAAAGAAGGCAGAGAAGTGCTGTTCTCACCACATCATCTGATGAGCATCTGTAAATGTGTGTGTTGGTGTGTCAGTTACAGTAGCACATTTTGTTGTAGGAAGTGCTTGTTGTGTTTCTCTACTGTTACTCTTCTTTTTTCTGCTTTTCATATTGTAGTAAAGGAAAGGCATCATGTGCATCGCGTACTTAAGATATGTATAGAGAGCTACTCTAAGAGCAGAGTATCTGTATAACTTATTTGCCTGGGAGATTTGCCCTCTCTGGTCTTTATCTGTATCAGTAAGGACTCTTGTAACACTGTCCCACTGTTTTAAACTTGTGGCAGAGATTGTTGTAGTGCTAGCCTTTGGGCTCTTTCAGCCTTGCCTGCGATGTTACTCTTGTAGTCTGATCACTGTGGGGATACTGTCTCTTTTTAAGCACTTTTGTTACTTCCTGACACTACAAGGTGCTCCAAGTTGATCTTGGATATTTGTTGCCTCAGTCATAAATCATCCATTTCTCAAAGGAGCAGGGCCATTTTTAGTCTAACTTGAAAATTCTCAGTAAAGTTTGAATTAGAAAAAACAAACACTTTCTAACTCTACTATTCATTGAATGACCATAAAGAATGTCTTTGCTATCCTCAGGTTTATTTTACCTATTTATAAAGTAAAATAAATATTCTATTTCCTTGTGTAAAAACAAGAATATCATAAAAGCCAGTGAAATTATGAAAAGTATTTAGACACTCCTGAAATTCACTTGGCTGGGACTCAGACCATTTTACAACCATGCCTATGTTGACTAGATGTGTAACCTTGAGCAAGTCCTAACCTTTCTAGCCTCTATAAATTAAGAGGATTTGATTAGATCATCCCTGGGGTATTGTCTCTATTACTTGGTGATCTCATTTGTGTAAGTTAAGATGTTAGGAATGAGTGCAAAGATGTGCCAAATGTGCCAAATTCCAGTAATGGCTCTGTTTAACTTTTAAAATATATCACTAACACCAAGTAAATATATTTCAGCTCTGTATTTCTGCGCCCCATTGTAACTTTTTATGGATAGTTCAGTAGTTCTTCAAAACGGAATGTAAATTTACTGATCTTCTAACCTATACAGTGATGTACGAGACATAATGTTTTTTTTTTAATTTTATGTGTATGAGTGCATTGCCTGCATGTATATGAGTGCATCCGTGTGGTGCAATGCCATGGAAGTCAGAAGAAGGCTTTGGATTCCCCTGGAACTGGATTTAAGGACAATTTGTAGCAGCCATGTAGGTGCTGGGAATCAAACCCAGGTTCCTTGCAAGAGCAGTCAGTGCTATTAACTGCTGAGCCATCTCTCCAGTCCCGAGACATAATGTTTTTATTCCTTTTTGTTCTTGAAGAAAAGTTAAGGGACTAGCACCTGAGTTACTTCAGTTTTGAAACAGGTAACTCTCTAGGGTATAAAATTTAACTGAACTACTACTAAGACACTTAAAAAGTTTTAAAACTTTTTAATGTTATAGTAGAAAAGATAATTATTATAACTAAAATATTTGCTTTCTTTACTAAATAGAAACCAGTTCTTCATCGAAGAAGAAGAGTCCGCAAGCGCAAACACCACAATAGCAGTGTAGTCACAGAAACCATCTCTGAGACCACTGAGGTATTAGATGAACCTTTTGAAGACTCTGACTCTGAGAGGCCAATGCCAAGACTGGAACCTACATTTGAGATTGATGAAGAGGAGGAGGAAGAGGATGAAAGCGAGCTCTTTCCTAGAGGGTACTTTCATCGCTTGTCCTCACAGGATGTCCTTAGATGTCAGTCTTCTTCTAAGAGGCAGTCCAGAGATGAGGAGGAAGAAGAGGAATCAGATGACGTGGATGGTATGTTTTACAGAACTGTTACTTATAGCGGTTTTGTTGTCTTTAAATACACAGCAACAAGAGCTGCAAACCCTTCAACAAAAAGTTGAAAATGAACATGACTCACTAAGCCAGAAAAGAAAGGTTTTGCAGTCTTTGAAAGTTGTATCAAGTGTATCCGCATTCACTTTTGTTTAGTTTCTCCTTTAGTCAGAACCTGTTTTTACCTTTGAAGAAAACACCTTACTGTTAGGAAGTTCTTCCTTTTTGTCTAATCTTTTCTTGGTCTTTACCTGAATCTTCAGTTAATGGGTGAATTCCATCTTCAGGAAGATGAAATAACTGTTAACAAGAATGTGTACTTTCTGGAATTACTCTGTTTTGCTCATTGCTCTATATCAAGTAAGCGATAAGTGCTAATAAGACACTCCTTCAGTAAGACAGATCATATAGATTGGAATCCTGTCACGTCTACTCAGGAACCCTTTCTGAATCAAACTTCTAATGCATCTCACCCAACTAGTAGTACATTTTTTTGTTTATTTGCACCTTGTTTTGTTATTTTGAAACAATCTTACTACATAGCAAGTCTGACCTGCCTTAGCCTCATGACTGCTGGGAGTATACATATGTACAACTCAGCAACTAGTTGTACATTTCTAATAAATGACAACAGTAACTCAAAATAAACTGTTTTATGATGTACATAAAAATTTAGCTATTTACTTTTTTGTTTTTTTTTTGTTTTGTTGTGTTGTGTTTTTTTGAGACAGGGTCTCCCTGTAGCCCCCACTGGCCTAGAATTCACTATGTAGATAGACCCGGCTGGCCTCCATCTCATAGAGATCCATCTGTCTCTGCTTCCAAAGTGCTCGGATTAAAGACCTGTGTACCACCACACCTGGCTAGTTTATTTACTTTTTAAAGAGAACTTAATTTCATTGTACCTTTAGATATACAGCAACTGAGGCTCATATAACACAAGACAGGAAGAAACTAGGCATTTGCATCCTAGCCTAAAGGATGTATCTATCATATGCCTACATCTGTAGTGTGTTCACCGTGTATGAGCTCAAACAGCTTTAGAGGGTGTATGGCGAGGGGTTGAGAATTTCATATATTAGTGCTGTATTTGCATCAACTCCAGCTCTTCTATGCCTCTCCCCACTCCCTTTCCATTTGTGACCTCTTTGATTAGTACTGTTGCATACATACACACACACACACACACACACACACACACACACAGAGTCTGCTAAGCCCATTTAGTGGTACTAGTATGTATATGTGTTCAGGGCTGGCCCACTTGGGGTTGGATAACTTATCAGGGCACTCATTCCTAGAGAAAACTTTCTCTCTCCCTCAGCAGCTATTGATTGATTGCCTGTAGCTCTTCATCCAGAGGTCAGACTTTGTGAAATTTCCCCTGTCCACATTAGTTTTTTTATTTTGTCAGGTTAATTTGAAGACGTTCAATTATTCACCCTTGCTTTATACATTTACTTTTTTTCTCCCCTTACTTAATAGAGCTTTTTATTCTTTTAAAATCTTGACTTCAAACCCAGTAGATAAAACATGAATTTTTCTGTCTGGAAATGTAGCTCGGTGATAAACCCTGAACCCTTAGTAGGTTCAGTTCCCCAGTACCAAAAACAAAACAAAATCCTTGTGGGTTTTGGAAGGAGGGGGTTAATGAGTATATATGACAGAGTTTAATTGTGCAGCCCATGCTGGTCTCAAATTTGTGATCCTCCTGCTCCTCCTAACTGCTACAGTAACAGGCACATACCACCATTCCCAGCACATTTTCCTTATCATATAATAAGTATTTTAATATAATTATGACTAAAATCTTTGCTTTATTGTGAATGATTATTTGGAGATTTGTTCATCTTATATATTGATATGTATAACTAGGAAACTAAAAATTGTTTCAGTTTTTTGTGTAAATTGGCACTCAGCATTCTGTGTCAGATCACTGTATGTCACAGTATTGTTCATGGCACCTTGGACAGTTTTCTCTGGTACAAGCATTGCCTTTGGTGACTTTCCAGTTACAACTGTAAACTACATTTTAAACTCTCCTCCCAAGTCCTATCCTTTTTCTTGGTGTTCTTAGCCTTTACAAATTATAGGAATTAAGAATCCACTTAATGTTACTGAACTCTGATTAAAAATAGTTAAAGTTTTACCTTATATATATTATATCACAATTTAGAAAAAATAATGCTAATACTGAATTATTTCTACTAAATATTATTGTCCTATTTGGTTAGGACTAAATGTCAGTGTCTAACACTAAATGCTTTACAGCTGTTCCTGTATAAACACATTGATTAACAATTCACAGGGAATGGCTCAATTGTGGTCTGCAGGAATTGGCTTGTGATACTACTTCAAGTAATGATTTTTTACAGACTTAAAGGTAACATAACTTTAAGGTAAACAAAAAAAGAAGCTGATTTGTAACTTATACAATTGAACTATGAAGACATCATAAAGAGTACTACTTAATGCTTTTCATCTGCACCATCTTAAAGCTTGGACTTGAACTGCTTTTAGCTAGTATATTGAAAGCATCATATTGTCCAGGGTTGTTTCATTGTTCTGCCAGGTCATTGTTAACTTTAGGTGTCATTTTTTAGATTTTATCCCGTTGTATATGCTGAACTTAGAGAAATATTAGGTCTTATAACCTGTCCTTACTTTCTCTTTTCTGTGCAGATACTCCTGTCCTAAAGCCAGTATCTCTTTTGAGAAAATGTGATGTGAATAACTCTTCACTTGAGCCAGATACCTCCACACCTATGAAAAAGAAAAAGGGATGGCCTAAAGGCAAAAGCCGAAAACCTGTTCACTGGAAGAAAAGACCTGGACGAAAACCAGGATTTAAATTGAGTCAGGAAACCATAGCCACTTCTACACAAGAATGTGTTGTTGATCCTGTAGTCCCCATTTTAAAACCTGGACGTAAACCCAGAACTCAAGAGAATGAAGAAATTGTTGAGCTAAAGGAAGTCTTTCCCTCATTGGAAGAAGGGAAGGAAGAGATGCATACTGAAGCAGATGAGGAGGCCGAAGAGGGAGAAGAGACAACTGCCAGTGACATCAGAGCCACGTCTCCAGTGGACAGCAGCAACAGCCCTGAGGCCGAACCGAAAGAACTTGAGGCAGAGGAGGAAGATGAGAAACCTTTGGTCCCAGAAGAACAGAGGCAGTCAGAGGAAGAGCCACAAGAGCTAGAAGAACAGGAGCAAGAAGATGAAGACAGAGTGACCACAGAGGCCACTCAGAATGAAGACCATGATGCAGATGATGAAGATGATGGTCATCTGGATTCTCTGAAGACCAAGGAGCCAGGGGAACAGCCAGCTAAAGAAGATGGCAAAGAGGAACCTGGCACTCAGGAATCTTTTTTAGATGCAAACATGCAGGACACTAGGGAGAATGTAAAGGATAAAGATGAAATTGAACCGGATTCTGAAGAGGAACAGCCTTCCCATGAGACATCTGTGATATCAGAAAACATGCCGGGGTCCGAGGACGACCATGAGGAAGACTCCAACACTAAAGAATTAACTGAGCTAAAAGAGGAGGAAGAGATTCCACACACTGAACTAGATTTGGAAACTGTGCAGGCAGTGCAGTCTTTGACTCAAGAAGAAAGCAGTGAGCATGAAGGAGCCTACCAGGACTGTGAGGAAACTCTTGCAGCCTGTCAGACCTTGCAGAGTTACACCCAGGCCGATGAGGACCCCCAGATGTCAATGGTTGAAGACTGTCATGCTTCAGAGCATAACAGCCCAATATCCTCTGTTCCATCTCATCCTAGCCAGTCAGTCCGCTCAGTCAGCAGCCCCAGCGTGCCTGCCCTAGAGAGTGGTTACACACAGATCAGCCCAGAGCAAGGATCCCTGTCCGCACCCTCTATGCAGAACATGGAGACCAGCCCCATGATGGATGTGCCTTCCGTATCAGACCATTCTCAGCAGGTGGTAGACAGTGGCTTCAGCGATCTGGGCAGCATCGAGAGTACTACAGAGAACTATGAGAACCCAAGCAGCTACGATTCCACCATGGGCAGCAGCATCTGCGGGAATAACTCCTCTCAGAGCAGCTGCTCCTATGGTGGTCTATCATCCTCAAGTAGCCTCACCCAGAACAGTTGTGTTGTCACTCAGCAAATGGCAAACATGGGCAGTAGCTGCAGCATGCTGCAGCAAAACAGTGTCCAGCCTTCTACCAACTGTAATATCAAGTCACCTCAGACTTGTGTGGTAGAAAGGCCTCCTAGTAACCAGCAACCACCACAGCAGCCACCGCAGCAGCAGCAGCAGCAACAGCAGCAGCAGCAGCAGCAGCAACAGCAGCAGCAGCCCACACCACAGCCTCCCCCACCCCAGCCACAGCAACAACAGCAGCCGCCATCACAGCAGCAGCAGCCACAGCAGCCTCAGCCCCCACCCCCACCCCAGCAGCAGCCCCCTCTCTCACAGTGTAGTATGAACAACAGCTTCACTGCAGCTCCAATGATAATGGAGATACCAGAATCTGGAGGTGCTGGGAACATCAGTATCTATGAGAGGATTCCAGGGGATTTTGGTGCTGGCAGCTACTCTCAACCATCAGCCACCTTCAGTCTAGCCAAGTTGCAGCAGCTGACTAACACCATTATGGACCCTCATGCCATGCCTTACAGTCATTCTCCTGCTGTGACTTCCTATGCAACCAGTGTTTCTCTGTCTAATACAGGACTGGCTCAGCTAGCTCCATCTCATCCCTTAGCTGGGACCCCTCAAGCACAAGCCACCATGACTCCACCCCCCAACTTGGCATCCACTACCATGAACCTGACGTCACCTCTACTGCAGTGCAACATGTCTGCCACTAACATTGGCATTCCTCACACTCAGAGGTTACAAGGGCAGATGCCAGTCAAGGGACACATATCCATCCGCTCCAAGTCTGCACCCTTACCCTCTGCGGCTGCACACCAACAGCAGCTTTATGGCCGCAGCCCACCAGCGGTCGCCATGCAGGCTGGCCCTCGTGCATTGGCTGTTCAGCGTGGCATGAACATGGGGGTTAATTTGATGCCAACTCCCGCCTATAATGTCAATTCCATGAATATGAATACTTTGAATGCCATGAACAGTTACCGAATGACACAGCCCATGATGAATAGCAGTTACCATAGTAACCCTGCCTACATGAACCAGACAGCACAGTATCCTATGCAGATGCAGATGGGAATGATGGGGAGCCAGGCCTATACCCAGCAGCCTATGCAGCCAAACCCTCATGGAAACATGATGTACACTGGCCCCTCCCATCACAGCTACATGAATGCTGCTGGCGTGCCCAAGCAGTCACTCAATGGACCTTACATGAGAAGATGAGCAAGATGAACTTGCAGTTAAAAACTTAAATATATATAAATAAAGGAACCTTTTATACTGACAAACCAGAGAAAAATGAACTTTTTCCAGTTAAAATATTGCTGTAGAATTAGAGGAACTTTTCTTTGGTTTATTTTGTTTTTTAGAAAACCTGATCTCTTTTAGGGGATTCAGCTTTGTCTTGGGTTTTGGTTTCCTTCACAGTCTTGAACATTTTACAGTAGAACTCGTCTAAAAATGGACTTGGGGATAGGGAAACATGCACAAAATCTTTTCATAATTAAAAGAGCCTTACTTTCTTTATACACCACATGGACAGAATTTGTGTAAAAGTGATTTATTTTATTTTTAAATGTATGTTTCCCCTCACTGTCTGCAGCTCCCAATGTTGTCGTTTTTAAATGTTATATATACATCTCAAGGGCCAACCAGACCCTCTCCTCCAACCCAACCTTTCATTTCCTACTTCATTCCAGCAGGAGGCACTTAGGGGAGACTAGGACAGGGACATGGAGAACAAACCAAGCTCCTTAAACTTAATGTTATTATTAATATTATTATTATTATTAATAAAGTGAGGCAGGAAATGCTTCTCCTTGTAAAATTCCCTCCGCTCCCTGTACATACACCTCTGGAAACCTTTCCCCAAGAATGTTTCTTTCTAGACAGACTTCATTGAAATATCTGTTTTTCTTGAATCAAGTGTAATATAATTCTTTTTTTTTAATATTCCCACTCAGCACTCAGAGACACAAAAATACTGTAAGTCTCACTTAACAGCAGAATCTCAGAGGAAAGCTGTTTGCAATCCTAATCCAGCCTTTGGAGGATATGGATGGTCAGTTAACAATCAGAAAGAGGAAATGCACCTCTTGTTTTTTTACCACCTGGTGAATCAGCCATAACATGCACACTCCACTCCTTGTTTTTAGTATGTACCTGGAAATGCTGACTAAGGGTCTTGATGCTTGCGCCTTTGACTCTGGTAACCCTCAGAGCAGTCCCCAGTGATTTGCCTCTCACATTTTTCCATGCAGTTTCCATGGATGACTGTAGTGTCAGTGATTTAGAAAATACCTGATGCAGAATGTGTTCAAACGATGATGTTGTGAGTTTTATAGCTGCATAAATGATACATACCTCTAGTTTTCATTTGTCTTGAGATCCTGAGTTCATCCCCCATGAACCAGTGTGCACCAGCCCCTCTCCTGTAGGTAACTAGCAAGGAGAGATCCACCACCAGCATAGTAGGGCACATCTGGACAGCAGGGCTTCAGGACACTCATATATTGCTCCCAGTCCGTTCTTTTCTCTTGTGCAGCCAGTTCATCCATTCTCTTACTATTACTTGCTCCAGGGATAGGTAAAAAATTATATATATATATATACATTCCATCATTAGAAGATGGAAACTATTATACCACTTGGTATGTGCAGTCAAATATCCAAAAGGGGGAAGTACTGCTTCAAGAAATACCTGTAAGCATAAATTCTCTCCTTTATTTGTACATTTTATATAAATAAATTTTTAAAGTACTAATTAGGCATTAAATTTTTTCAAATGCACAGGTTTGTTGGTTTTTTTATACACCTTAATTGGCTTTCTCAATTAAGTGTGATAGATAGAAAGCAGAATTCCACACCTTTACCGCAATCAACTCTGAGCATGTGCAAGGCTGTGTAGGACCCAGTTTCTGTATATACTGTTCCAGTTCCCAGTCATCTCTGTAGAACGTGCACTGTGCCGCCCTCCCCTACATCTTCAGCTAATGTCACTGCTTCCTGGATGGGACGGGATGGGTGGGAGGGAAGGGAGGTATATGGGAGGAGGGTGGGTCAAGGCAGAGGAGAAGCTGTTAAAATGAGGGCCGTGAATTCAGTTTCTGTTGATTTGCGGTTGTGTTTGGTTTTGTTTCTTTTTTTAAAAAAAAAAAAATTCAATCGGGCAGCTCCCTTTTCCACAAGCCTCTTTGTGACTGTAGAACTGTTGTAGAAAAATATGTTCTTTTCTATATTATAAAAGAAATTATCCAACACAGTAATATTGGTACCTGTCATTTTTTCACTTCTGTTTTAAAAAAAAATGTATTTTTAGCAAGATAACTTGGGTAATCTTCTAAAAAAGAAATTTAAAAACTCACTGTTAGTGACTTTGATGCCTTTTAAAATAAGAGCTTTTTCATTTCATTCCATCTTTAAAATTTTTTATCTTTGTTGTAGAATATTAAAAACTATTTTAAGAAAGATAAAAATTCTCTTTAAAGAGATCTCTAGAGTGTGTGAATAGAGCTCCAGATGCCTCTAAAAGCCGCATGTACAAACTAAGTCTATTACTGTCTGTTTATATTTGCTTTTCCTGTTTTGTAACTCTTTGTACTTTGTTCCTGGTGAATTGTAAGTGGGGGAAGGGTGCTTCGATGCCCTTGTATTTCTCCATGTCATGCGCTCCTGGCTAGGTGGCCTCCCTTCCTCTCCTTGTATGTAATATCTTTTTTTCCCCTTTCTAGCAAGTACTTTCAAAAGAACTCTGTACATTTTAACATAAAAAAAAAATAAATTATGTTGAGCCATTTTGGATGTCTGTGTTGCATGTGGAATTTTTCTCCCAAATATTTCAGACTCTCAAATCCTTGTTCCACACACAGAGAGCTGTGCATTCAACTCTTTCTGATACTCCTTTATTATCATGAGTATAAGCTCATAAATTTTGCTTTGACATGAGTTTTCATTCATGTAAATGTTTAGATACAAACAAAAGCATGTTCACACCCACCTCCTGCCTATATTTTGTTTTGTTTTTAGGGTTTTGTTGTTGTTGAGTCACGGTCTCACTGTGTCTGGTCTCTAATTCTGGCCCCTGCCTCCTTGAGTGCTGGTATTAAAGGTGTGGTGATAACTGACTTTATTTTCATTTTCTAAAGAAAATGCAGTAAAAGATTCCTCCCAGAATCAGCCAAACACACTCAGAATTTTAAGTGGAAAGTAAATATTTAGAGAACTATATTACTACATTCCAGTATACTTGATGCTTTTGTTGTTTAAATTTGTACACAAATGTGTTTGTACATTGAGCACGTTCCCCCAGCCCCTCTCCCTTCCTCACCCCTCTCCATCCTGTTAGTCCTCTCTGTTCCCCTTGACAGTTCTACTTGTGCTTTCATGTCACAGAGACATGTGATGTCTCACCAGAGAAGACCACTCAGATACAAAATTTGCCAAAGAAAACCTTTATATATTTATTTTAAGCTGGCCGGTGACTACACTGGGCATTCAGTTTCCAAGTGCAGTCCTGAGTCAAAGCTTTTATACAGATAAACTATATCCAGGGGTGAAGAGTTTAAGTTTCCAAGCTTGAGATGGAAAGACCCCTTCCATTTTCTATTCTGTAAGACAATAACTATTCTGCAAAAGCAAGCCAAGCAAAACCTGCAGAACCATAAATCTACTGTTAGCGGGGGTAACTAGGTGCATGCTGACTTGTTCTCAAACCCACACCTTAGTGCAGCTGTGTCGTTTTTTTGTTTTTTGTTTTTTAAACTACTGGGTTTAGTTGGGGCCTGCTTGTAACATGGTGTAGCTATGGTCAGTCTGGAAGTGCCTCATCGTGATTTCATGTTCTATGTAAAATCTGGGAACCACAAAGGATACTCTTTTGTTTTTTTTCTTTTAATAAGTCATTTATTTGTTGATTTGTGTGTGTCTGTGTGTGTGTGTATCATACAGAACATCCCAGTCTTATTCATCTATATACCCACTTCCCAAATGGTACCCTCCCGTAGCTCCCCCAACTGGAGCCCATATACTCTGTCATCCCTTTCACTGTCCACTGTGTTGTCGGCACCCCCAACCATTCCCCAGTGCTTGTCCATCCTTGTTCAAATAAACACCCACTTCCGAGATGGCATCCTCCTATAGCCTCCCTCCCCCCACTAGAGCCCTTATACTCTGATATCCCTGCTACTGTCTGCTGTGTTGCCAGCACCCCCAGCAAATCCCCACTATTTGCCCTCTGGTGAATCTAGTCAGCCTATCTAGAGGTCTTTGCTGTATCTAGTCAGCCTATGTAGAGATCCTTGTTTTAGGAAGATCAGCTGTTCCTCATCTAGCAGCAATCAGTTGTCAATATTCCTTTAGATAAGATTGGGGTCTGCTGTTCATTTTCCCAGTTCTATGCTGGGTTACTACTGTCTGGGAGTTTCTTGGGTCACCCTAGCCAATAACTCAAAGGAAAGTATCTCCTATCTGGCATTGTTGCTTGTTATATAGCCTTTAGCTATGCAGACTCTTAAAAAATTATACTGACCCCTTTAATCTTTGGTTATACTTTCCGTTTGGGTGTTTAAAACCCTACAATTGGCCCAGATAAACCAATTTATTTTTACTCTTAAGGTCGTTTGAGGATCTGTTCCTCAGGGGTCACATGGGTTTGGGAGGAGCCCCTGACTCCTTTCTTTTACCAGTTCTGCCTATGTGAAGATAAGTCTAAGGTCCTGCTTGACCATGGTTGGCTTCGCTTGGAAACACTGAGAAAATGATTCCTCTGTGTTGACCCTCCTCTTTGTAGACTGGACACTGGTTCAAGTCCATTTTGTGGGGTCTCCTTGGCCTCCTTGATCAAGAGGACAGGTGACTCACCACAGTTACAGGACATTTTGGGAAATGCTCATAGTCCCATGGAACTAGTCGACCTTGGAGGGCAAGAAGCCAAAACTGTCCATTATGTCCCTCTGACCAAATTAGTATAGGCCTCAGAGTATGTTTATCTACATGGCACATGGTAATTAAAAGTCCCAGACTGGTGGATACTTTGTTTTTAAAGGAAAACTTTGAGTATTTCCTCATCTGCTTCCTTGGTTGTGATCTAGGTGAAACTACCCTTCTTTTACCAGGAATCGAGTTTCTCAGAATGACATTTGGGGGTTGTTTTCTCTGAGTTTGTACTTACAGTACAGTTCTCATCATTAGAATTTTGGATACAAGACAGATTCAAGTAAATGAGACTTAGTTCTGGGAAATTTGAGGTTTTAGTGGCCATAACACTGCCTGGCACATCAAGTTATCAATTAAGGAAATGTATGTGACATTACAGCAGTCTGGGTCTAAGCTTCATACTATTGAAGTTTAGATTGGTTCTGCCATCTCCAGATTGGCTTTTTGGCTTCTCAACTGACTTGCAGACTGTCACTGCACTGCACCATTCTTTGTGGGGTGTCAAAACATGCTGTTTGCCTGGTACCAGCTTACAGTGAATTCAACATAAAATAATTCTTATTTTTCTGCAAAGGAGATAATGGAACCAGAAAGTATATATTATAAACACTTCTTTTGAGACAGAGTCTCACTTTGCAGTCCTGGCTGGCCTGGAACTCACTTTGTAGATCAGTCTGACCTTGAACTCAAAGAGGTTTACCTGTCTCTGCCTCCCAAGTGCTGGGATTAAAGGCATGTGCCCCCGTGCCCAGATATAAACATTTTTTTAAAACATAACTCTCATAATCTTCCATTTAAATATATTTTGACATAGTTTTGTTTACAGCCAACTCATGAGTGATCTCCGTGAAGAGCGGTGTTCCAGTTTCTTTACTGTCTTCCCATTGCCTTATTTACTGTCCAGAAGACAAACGTGGGAAGAAAATGATACTACACAGGATTAATGTATATATTGCTGACGGTCCTGACTGTCGTGTGTCCAGTCGTTAGAATACCAGGAGTCATGTTCCTTTAACATGGGGCACTACAGTTCCCATTTTTTAGCCTGATGACATCTGTCTGTGTTCACTGAATGCCGAAGTCTCGTGAGACTGACAATGCTAGTCCATTATATGAAAATTGTTTCAGATTCTCCTCAGTTTGGTCAAGTGCATGGTTACTTTTTCCTCATATTCCTTCTAGTCTTTTAATGCAAGATGTGTATCATTGATGATAATTAGAATAGTGGAAATGGGGGAGGGGGGTACTGCGGACCTGCCCTTGTCGGCAGAACCAGACGCCCAGGATTTGAATGAGGGAATGGCAGTTAACTTTGCATCTTTTGACTTTCAAGGAATCTAAAAACTCATGTGAAACATTTCTGTAAACAAATACCATTTACAGTAATACTTCTAATGTTGCCAAATGTGTAGAATTGGTGAGCATGCTCATCCAATTAAAAGCTGACAGTCCCAAGGGCAAAACCCAACCTATTTGTTAATGAATTCCTATTAAGGAGCAGGCTGAGTTTGTTATGTAAGGTGGTATGGTTATGTAATATAGCACAGACCCCTGGATTTGTGTGTGTGTGTGGTCTCTTTTTCGAGTGGCAGGTACAAATGGCTTAATGGAAATTCCTTGCTGTCTTAATAAGGAGCCTAAATACTGGTATACATATTACACAGTGTTTCAAAATGGTGACAGTTTAATTTATACCTGTAATAGAAAAAAAAAGGCGTAGGGGTTAATGGGCTTTAATTTGAGGGATTTTAAAGATTTGTGTATTATGCTTGTACGTGCACCTTTTGTAGAAGGCTATTCTTTGAGCCAGACAGGTGCCATTTTCAGGAGTTCAACTGTGCGTGCTTGCCAAAGATCCTTAAAGCTAGGCTTGTTGACTGTTGACTTTCCCTAATAGAAGGAGGGGTAGAGAGGACCACGGGGCTCCTAACCCATACAATTCTAACCTCATCACATGTTGTGGCCTTCAGAGGGGCTACAATATATGGTCTGTGAAGGACTAGAGGAGGGGACTCCATCTATGCAGCCATGGAGAAGTCATCATCCTTGCTGAGTACAGATTTTCCAGTGTGGCTGCTTTAAGGTCACTCACACTCATAACCCTTCACTTACTGCTTTCTAGGTAAGTCTGATAAACTCAATGATTTCCCAGAATGAACTTCGGTAAAATGTGGAGTCATAGCTCCATTTGTCATTGAGACCTTAAGAGGAGGTGGTAGATGTTTATCTCTCTCCTAGGGAAGGAATTTTAGCAACAAAACCATATGTCTGCCTGGTGCCTAGGGATGCCAGAAGAGTACATCAGGTCTGGAACAGGAGTTACAGATGGTTGCGAGCCTTGTGGATGCTGGTAATCAAACTCAGATCCTCCGCAAGAGCAGTAAGTGCTCCTAACCACTGAGACATCTCTCCAGCCTCCTAATTTGTTGTCTTCTACAATGTTAAACAGCCATAGTGGATATTTCCCCCCTGCGGCCAATATGAATACATTTTCTGAGTGAAATATACATTCTGGCTATTAAAAAAAAAACACCACTCCTAACATTAATTCTTTGCTAATAGATGTGCCTGAGGCCATGTTTATGCCATGTTTTCTGGAATGATGTCAATTCCATCCAAGAGTCTTTAATTGTATGTATACAACTGCCTGTGCTTAGAGTGTATACAGCAACTAATTGCAGTGCCTAAGCACTTAACTGGGATTTCTATTAATATGCATTTAAAAATGGTATCTGCTTAATGTTGGAAGACAAGCTATTCATTACACCTCACGTTATTTAGATTGGCCTTAAGAAGCTTTTTTTTTTTTTAATTAAAAGAAGCATTTCATTACAACAGCATTAACCTATTCAATAACATTTTTCTGA